ATCGAGTGGAAAGTACTGACCTTCATAGCGTCTGGTCATCCTCGGAAGCTTTGGTATCAAGATCTGCGAGGGCGAGGCCTCGATGGCCGGCGCAGTATTTTTTGCGTCTGACAAAATCCACTGGGTCCATGCTCCGTATTGCCATGCCCTTCCTGTCATCCGGGCCACCGCGAGCAACACCGTCATCGAGTTGCATCCCCATCCTGCGGCTCGGGGGTTAAGACAATTGGCAAAGCTGAACCCTGCCTTTGGGAAGCTTTGGAACGAGTCGATCGACAAGATCGATTCGACTTTTGAGATTGTTCGTGCTCAACTTCTTTTGTCTAACTCTCTTGTCCCAGCACCTTTGCGCTAACCGTAGCAGATGTACACATCCGAAGACGCCCCCAAAAAAGCCATATTGCAGCAACTGGTCTCGCCGGCAGAATGGAACAAGAAGCTGGCGGGGATTATAGCATCTAAACAGAAACGCACGCCAATCATCTTCGTATGTGGTCCGAAGTCGTCGGGCAAGTCAACCTTTGGCAGACTTCTCGCAAACCGCCTCGTAACCGACCAAAATGATTCCGGTAGGAAGCCTTGGTCAAGTGTGCTTGTGCTCGACCTCGACCCAGGGCAGCCCGAATATGGGCCCCCTGGAGTCATCTCCCTCAACAAGATCTCCGTGCCCACGCTATCGCCCCCGTTCTGCCACCCGACCCTCGACCCCACCCACAGCCAGCTCCGAGCCCATGCCATCGCGTCCGTCAGCCCGGCGCTTGACCCAGAGCACTTTGTCGAATGCGCGCTCGACCTCCTCTCCACCTACCGACGGAGCATCAACGCCAAGCACCCCCTCGTCATCAACACGCCCGGATGGATCCAAGGCACAGGCCTCGACCTCCTCGCCGAGATGGTCAAGGAGATGCGCCCCACCGAGGTCATCTACATGTCACAGGACGGGCCCGACGAGACTGTCGACAGCCTCAAGTCCGCCTGCGGCACTAGCGTTCCCTTTACCACGCTCCCATCGCAGCCGAGCGAGAACACCCCTCGCACGGCGCTGCACCTCCGCACCATGCAGACCATGTCCTATTTCCACCTCGACTGGGCCTCGCTCGCAGGCGCATACCAGACCTGGAACCCCACCCCGCTAACTGAGCTCCGTCCGTGGCGCGTCAGGTACAGTGGCGGCGCAGATAGGGGCTTCATCGGCATCCTGTTCTACGACCACCAGCCTGCGCCGGACCTCATAACCGAGGCGGTCAACGGCATGATCCTCGCGCTGGTGCGGGTGGAAAGCAAGGCTGCATTCCGCGATCTCATAAACCAAGACTCGCCGGACTCTGCCTATGCCGAAGGACCGCAGCCAGAGGGAGGAGACCCGGCAGGATCTGGGTCTTCGCCATCAAGAAACAGCATCACGCGATCAACCGAGGGCATCCCGCTGATACAAAACCCGCAGGGCAGGACGCTATCGCCACGCCACTCGAGGATGCTCGGCTTGGTGCTCGTTCGCGGGGTGGATACGGCGCGCGGAGAGCTGCAGCTGTTGACACCGCTGCCGGCGGAGGTGTTGATCGAGGCTGGGGGCGAGCTTGTACTGGTTGCGGGCAAGTTCGATACGCCTAGCTGGGCGTATGCGGAGGAGCTGCATCGGAAAGCAGCTGGGGGGGCTGCTGTTGTTGTGCCGATCGAGGAAGACGAGGTGGATGGGCAGGTCGTCGAGGAGGAGAGTGGCAGTGGGAGTGACGAGGAGGAAGGAGAGGAGGAGGAGGAGGAGGAGGAGGAGGAGGAACAAGAAAGCAGACGCGATGTGGGTAAGACGGTGGAAGCGAGCCAGACCGAGATGGAGATCCCTTGGGCTGAGATGCTGCATGGCAATCAGAAGCGGTCCGTCGGGTCGCGTGTGTGGAGGGTTAGGAGGGATCTCGGGCGGAACTGAACGATATTTTTCTCCTTTTGGATATAGGAGACAAAGGGGGATGGACTAGCTTCTCGTTGCCTGTCAAGAACTTGAACATATATGGATGGATGGATAGACAGATACCCTTGGATGTACTGTATGCGTCTTACTCTCATCTTGCACAAGGCATATTTTTCATTTTGCTGATTGGACATGTATCATCATTGACAGCACCATACACAGCATCACTTCATCCACAAATGCCACCCAAGGCAAAGAAAGGTGGGTGTCTTCCGATGAAAACAGGGTGCGGATCAATTCAGTTCTCCAATATGTACTTTAAGAAGGGAAAAAAGGATATGTACATTCCTCCAACTCACACACCATCCAACCCAACCCGCTCACCCACCCAGTACCCAGCCATACCCGTACGGGCACCACGAGCCCTACGAGCACTGCGAATAATACGCATTCTGCACCTTGCAAGTATACCCCGACGCACAAGTAGTGCACCCCGTGAACCCGGTGCCGCCGCACTGGGCCCACTGCGCGGCGGTGCAGGATGACGGGGTGGTAGTCACGGCAACCGCAGCCGAGGTCGTCGATGTCTTGACCGACGAGGTCGAAGCCTTGGTGGTCGATACAGTCACCAGGGTCGTGGGGACGGCGGCCGCGGTCGTAGTCACTGCGCTGCCTCCTCCGTTTGCGGCGCACTGGAAGAGGGCTGGGCCGGGGATGGTGTAGGTGCTTGAGGTTGTCATGGAGTAGATGTTGATTAGGATGCCGGGGTCCGTTGCCTTTTAAGAGTTAGTTTGACCAAGATTTGGAGAGGTGAAAGGGGCGGGGAGGTTAAGTACCTTGTAAATGCCCGGGATGCTGTACGTCGAGGGCGAAGCGGTACCGGAGCCGCCTACTACGTTGATCTGGGCACATTCCATCTGTTTTTACCGGTGTTGTTAGCATTCCTGTCCTCGGGATGGGAGAAGAGGGGTGAAAGGGGCGGGGACGTACATAAAGCTGGGCGCCGGCGGTGGAGCCAGCCGCGTGCAGAGCAATCATCTCGGCGCGGAGCAGGTACTGCCCGTTCGGCAAGCAGGCCGGGATGTCAATGTACTGGAGGCCGCCGTTGGCGATGACGGTCTCGACGGCCCACTTGCCGTTGCTGTATCCCGACTCTTGGATCTTGAACCTGGATGGTGTTAGTCAAGTATACCCGGCTGGGGGACAAGCTGTCGAGCCAAGGGTTTGCACTTACCACCCGCCGCCGATACCGGTGTCAGTCAAGGCATTGTCGACCTTCTTGAGATAGGCCAGGGTCGGGCCCTTGTGACTGGCGTCAATGACGTCGTCGGCGCCCGAGGTCAGGGTGTGTCTCCACACGGCCTTGACCGTGGATCCGGCCGTGACGGTGATGATGTTGGCCGAGGGCGTGGTGGGGTTCGGGCCGCCGTTGCAGGCCAGGTCGTTGGAGGTCACGTCGGTGATGGGCCCGTCGTAGGTCGGCGTGCGGATGCCGTACGAGACCGGGTTCGTGGTCCCGCCTGCGCTGAGCTGCACGAAGATGGTGTGCGCCGACGCTGCCGACGCGGCTGCGAGGAGAGAGAAGGCCTTCATTTTTGCGATGGTCTGAGACTGAAACGGACGAGGTCGAGGTGATACAGCGACGGGCGGGAGGTCGATGGTATGAAGTTGCCTTGCCTGCCTGGTCAAATCCCGAGAACGGGAGAGGAGAGACTGGATGGCTGACGCCAGCTTCTATATAGTACCTCGCGGTTACCCTACCCCAGATGGAGGCTGGCACTCTCGCCACACGCGGGCCGGTAGTAACCTCGTCATGGCGTTGGTGTGGTCATGGACTCGTGTTGTGAGCCGCATGCGCAAAGCGGCCCCAAGGATACCAAGACCGTGGGACGGAACGACGTCGTCCGGACCTGGGCGCTGGGCAGCCATCCTGGCCCCTTTGAGCAACTCCCCCCACAACCGCCACCACCACCCTCCGGCTGCTAGGGGTGCTCATCCGAAAATCCTGTCCACTTTTGCACCGAGGCAGGTCCAGCAGTTGGCACGCTCTTTTGTCTCATGACGGGGTGAGGGTGCACGATACGTAGGTAGGCGCTTGTCTTGCAGTCGAGGGGGTCGACCTGGGAAGCGACATTAGTTTGCGGGGAAGCGAAAAAACAACAAAAAAGAGACAGGCATGTTTGGCTGTATGGATGGTCGTTACCGGGTTATGGGCATGTCCAGAGTATCAAGCCGTGTGCGCGCATCTCTGCCCGGTTTTGAGGTGCAAATGCACTTGTTTGTCGACGGCCGAGAGATATTGGTGACCCACCTCCCTCAGGTTCTTACCCCGGCCTTGCACATCTCATTCGTTCCATGCGTCGCGTCCCCTCCAGGCAAAGTCCGACACGACCATGGCTTGGAAATTTCGAGAGCCCGAGTGCAAATGCATGCATGCATACCAAATTGGGTGACAGGAAGACACACAGAAGGAAGGAAGGAAGGAGATGCCCCATCCGTCTTGGGCGTTTCGCTCTGATCGCTCGGCAGTCTAGCCAGCGCGGTGGGTGGTTCCGTGGTTGGGGTGCAGTGTGGGTTTTCTGGGGAAATTTTCCTTCCCATCACTGGACTCACTCACTTCCCCCGCCCTGCAGGCTCATGCAAGGCGTTGGGTTGTCCAGGAAGGTGGACCGAAATGACGCTCGATGCTACCTTCCCTTCCTTCACTGCACGTGTAAGACCAGGACACTGGCAGCTGCTGGACACTGCGGGACAGTGCCAACCAGAGACCTGTAGCCAATCAAGTTGGTTTGTTGTGTCCTGTGAGGGAAAAGGGGCTAGCGACCGTGACCCCTGTCGAGAACACATGGAGATTGTTTTCTTACGACCACCCACTGCAAGATTGCATGGCATCTTGTCCATCTATCCATCGAGGTACCTACCAGGTAGTTATGAACAGCCGCCATCCCGGATCATCGCTTGTAATGCCGCCCGCACTGTGACTGACGGCGGGAGGCGCAAGACAAGAACAAAAACAAAAAAAAACACCAACAGAGACAAAAAGAGAAAGAAAAAAGAAAAAGAGAAGGAAAAAGAGAAAAAAGAAAAAAAAAAATACCCGGTCCCGGATTCAAACCGGGGGGACCTTCGCGGGGCGCCTTAGCTCGCTTGCCTCTACAAGAGGTGGAAGACCTGTGCCTAATGCAGAATCCCCGATCCAGGGTTACCTTTCCGCAACGCGCTGACCACTGCGCCAACCAGGTGTTGAAATGCACCACCGAGATTTAAGCTTATATACCCTCCTCTCACGTCAATACCAGGTACGGTCGTGGTCGCAGGAACACCCGTCCACAACACGTGATTCCGGAAGACTTCCAATGGAAGGAGCTTATCGGGAGGATAGATGGCCAGTACAAGGGAGGTGGTAAGTAAACTTTTGTCAGAAAACAAAGTGGCTTTTGGCCCCTTGCGCGCACGCTACTTGGTTTCAGTTTGCGACATACCTCACTGATTTGGGACTTCGGATGAGAGTAAGGGGTTTTACGCAAGTGTAAAGATCGCCGTAGATTTAAGCATTTACTATATCAATAACATGACTCAAAAGAGATAAGGTACCAGGTAGACACAGTTCAGGTTCTCACTCCAACAATTGTCTTGAAAGTCGCAGCGACGTTTCTGGCAAACTGGCATACCATGCACTGATGTGTGTCCAAGAAAGCCAGAAGCGATATCCTAGAATAAGCTTGACCAGTCTCTTCTACTTAATTATGCATCTAAGACCCTCCCTTTGTTTGCCTGTTGAACAGGGTGGTCAAGCTGCTGAACTCCAAGCTGTCAAGACAAGGGTTTGCGAATTCTTTGTTGTCATCCATCTGTGACCTTACACAGAGACCGAAGAGAAGCTCATCACCTCGATTGTTCGGGAAGCTAAAGGCGCTTTTGCTTCTTTGTCTTGCCGCGGAAACGCAAAGTCAGCCGCAAAACAACGCACAATCATCTAAACAATGGCATTGTCACATCAGACTCAAAACCACACGAGCTACGGTGATTGAGTTCTATATAAACAGACAACAATTCCACCCTCATTAGCAAACTCTTCAACGAAGTCTGCCAGATCTCTTGCCTAGATTTGTCCTTCTTGTACTACCGATCGCAAACCTCTCCAAGCAAGAGACTGTCTGACTACATATCACCACCAAGATGTCACCCAACCCCCCCTCCTCCCCAAACCACCCCAGAAACGAATCCCAAGTCCTCGAAATCGCCCTTCCCGGCGCCGTAGTCCTGTCCCTGATGATATTCGCAATCTTCCGCCGACAACTCAACCGCGCCCGCTACCAGCTCGCCGTGGCTCAGCTCAGAAACGAAGCCGCGTCCGCGTGTCTCAGGACAGACGCAGATGCAATCAAATGCCTCGCGGACGAGCTGACTCGGCTCTGTGAGGAAGTTCTGCGTAAGGGAGATGCACAGCCCGTGTCGTATGGCTCGACTGATTTTTCGGCCGCTCATAGAAGTGAAACTGGAACTGCTTGGTCTTTGATGCTCTCGGAAACGAGGCTGTCGTTCCAGGGGAGCTTGTATGATGCTGATGATGAGGAGGCTGAGAGCAGTTCGTCTGATACTGACAAGGAGGAGACTGAAAGCACTTCGTCCACCATTACCGAGGAGGAAGTGTCTCGGGTTGGCGAGGTGAGACGTGGATATGGAGAGTTGGTGATTCCTGATGATGTGAGACCTTATGAGGCACAGGTTGCTGAAGTTGTCGATGCAGATGATTACCATCATGCCGGTGGTGATGAAGATATCTCGAAGAAGCACATAGAGCGTGACAGAGATAGCACCATCGACTATGCCGATAGCGGCGCGTTATCTGATCTTGACTCCGTGGTCTCTGTCGACTGATTCCCGGACATCCCGTCGTCTTCACACTTTATATCTCGCTGAAGCACTCGCAGAGTGACAGAGATAGAAATCCAACTTTCTTTCTTTTTTTATTTTCAACTTTTTTTTCTTTTAGGTTTTGCTACTTGAATAACAGCACATTTACCACCACCTCATGTACCCTCATGTTTGCAGCAGTATTATGTCTCTCTTTGCCCACTCGAGCCAATCTGATATTGGACATATTAATAGTAGTGCGATGCTAAGATTGAAGCTGATAGACGTTGTATTACTTGGTGTCTATAAAACTGCTAGTAACAAAGGCAGAGGCGTTGGTTCACAGCTGTTATTCCAAATCACATAAATTGAAACTATTTCCATCGAACAAACTGAATCTCCTGTATTAATACGTGTCGTGAATGTTCCATGTTTGTCCAGTGACTCCATAGCTTGGTGCAGAGGTAATAAATCTCCATACCACCAAGCCACCTTCGACGTGTTTGCAATCATACTTTGATGTCTATCGAAACTTTACTCCTATACTTTGTACTAGCAATTCAGAAGGAGAGTATGTCGGTAATTTGACTCCAGTGGCGGCTCGACGCCAACACCACATAAGTTTATTCATATCAAACTTAAATCATATCCCTGGCCTCAAGGTTTCCAGTACCACAAGGGTTTCTCTCTATTATGCAGTAGCAAAGTATCCGGAGTGTATAAAGTTTCGGGACAGCCAAGAAAGTTCAAGTCATGGTTGATTATGCTATATACACCCTCGGTCCCTTCCTACCCCCCTTCCCTGGCCAGGTACGGTAACAAAATGTAAACAAACCCCCACGCTCAGATCCTCAGACCCCCAAATGCTTAAAGCTCTCACAAACCACCACTCCGAAATTAACAAGTCTCCGCCGCCGGCCCAGGAGGGGTATAGCTCGTCGGCACGGGGTAGTAGATGTTGATGAGGATGCCCGGGTCCGAGGCCGAGTAGGCGCCAGGGAAGGAGACCAGGTTCTTGGGGCTGTAGGAGCCGGTGCCGCCGCTGACGCTGAGCTGGGCGCACGAGATGTAGAACTGCGCGCCGCCGGAGCTGCCGGCGCTGTGCAGACCAATGTGCTCGGCGCGGAGGAGGTACTCGCCGTTTGCCAGACACTTGGGGATCTTGACCGAGACGGATTTTGTGCCTTAGAGGATGGTGTTAGACTCATGCCGGACACCTATTTGACTTTGGAGATTGATATTTGGGTGAGGGATAGGTAATTACCTTGTGTGGCCCACTTGATACCGCCGCTGAGAGACGGCATGTCCTGGTAGATCTTGGACCAGACCTTGCCCTTGCCATCGAACGTGGCGGCCGTCTGGCCTGCGGGCACCTTGGCGATGTAGAAGGCCATGGGCCCCGGGTGGGAGATGGATGCCTTGGCGTTGTAGGCGAGCTCCTGGCCCGCGGTCACGTTAAGGGTGCCCTGGGCCGGGGTGCCGGGCGTGCGCTCGTAGCATCGGATGTCTTCCGACTGGACGTTGGTTACGGGACCGTTGCTCTGGAAGTTGGCTGTTGTCCGGACGTATTGCCAGTCTGATGAGGTTCCCACCGATGGGAAGGTGTCTGCACGGCAGTGGTCAGTCTGAGCCCTCCGTGAGGATGATTCAACAAGAATATTCAGTCACTCACAGTGCGCCTCGGCAGCAGCCGAGATAAGCAGCGCAATGGCGACGCTGAGCTTCATTTTGACGATGAGAGAAAGTAATGGACAGAGGAGAAGGAATGTCTTGGCAAGTCGTCGTATCAACCAGGATCTCGAGGCGCAACGATCTTGGCCCCGGGCTGAAGCGCCGTCGCCATCTTTATATATGTGCTAGGTAGGTAACGAAGTGGGCTTCTCGTCAATCATTACCTCCCGCCTCTACAACAATTTCCAAGACTTCGTCATTGCCAAGGAGCGAGTGCCGCCGAGCGGGTAAAGGGAGCGGCGGATAAAAACCCCAGCGACAACACGCGAACCACTCGCGAACCGCACTGCATATTAACGTCATGCTCCCCAGATAAGACGCCCCGCGGGATATAGAGTGCTTTTTCTGTTCCACATGATCTGGGGTAGATGAGGTTCATGTCGTGGCGCTTCGGCCTTGGGAACCTGATGTGGGGTGCAGGCCTCTCGATCGGGTTCCCCGGCACATGCCAGCACAGCACAGCATTGACGTTGTTAAAAAGTGCAAGCGTAGTGCTGTAGATAGATAAAGATGCCTGGTCCTGCAAATAACAGGTTCTCGGTGATTAATGCAGATGAGAGAAAGTGAATGCAATCTCACTTACACCGCCAAACCCGGTCGTCGGGGATGACATATAATGACAATACCCGCGATAACGTGAGAAGACTGAGGGCTTTACGGCTCACGGCTATCGGTGTTCCCGCGAATTCATTTACATCTGCATCTTGTCCTGGGTTTTACTGATGTGGGAACCCGCACCGTAGATGGGTGAACGGGTCGGCACTTAGAACCGGTTAACGCCATCACGAGCCTAGCCCTGTTCTTTGAACATTCTAGAATAATAAGAGGTCAAGGGGTCAGTGGCCTGATGTTGCTTTCCTTGGTTTGCTTAGCTTAGGGCACTGTGTTTGGCTTTCATAGCTTGTCCTGAGACCGGATGATAAAACGGCGCATTCCCTGGTGTCAACTCCCTCTGGTATTCATGCTCTTCTCGCAAGCTCTGTTCTCGGCATCTTACACGGAAAATGTCGCTGGACAGTTATGTCAAATTCAAAACTCCTCTCATGTGCTCTTTCACAAACTGTACTTTCTTTTTGCCGAACGTATTTGCTATCGAGCCCCTGATTTATGGTTTCTCACCCTTTTTAGGTACTCGATTGTTTCAAAGACAGCCACCGGACTGAGCATGAACAATGAGACCATGTACAGATAGTCGAGACAGGTAGGTACCTAGCTACTGTGAGTAACACCAATAACAGATTGGTCGCATCAAGGTACTACTACAAGCTACAGGCCTACTTGAGCCTCCGCCAGGGACCCTTCTAAAATGAGTCTCAAACGTCGAAAGTCCAGAACCATAATGGCTTGATCTCAAAAAACCAGGACGGCGGATTCTATCCGCACCCCTAACCCGCATGCAACCTGGACCGAGCGCACCGCTCATGGCACCACCCTTATAACAACACAGCTATAACAGCGGGCCAGAACGCCTCAGTACCACCCGTTCCTTGCATGGATAATACCTAACGAGCAGCGGTTCTGGTTGCTTTCTACCGCAAATTATGCCAAGCTGGGGCGATCTCCCGCGGCTTTCCTCGGAACACACAACGTGCAAAGAAAAAGAAAATGAAAGGTAGCGAGCTGCACAAAGGCGGTTTGCTGGTGTGGTATGGAC